CCCCCCCCCCCGTAAAGTCACTACCTCTGCTAGATGTGACTCTATTATATAATGTCAACAACTTTTTTTATACTTAAAAATGGCTTTTAAATGCTTTAAAAAATGTACAAGTTTGTGGTTACTATTTAGTTTTATATTTATGAAAATGTATTGTTTTGTAAAATGCAATGTGAATGTATGACTGAAATATATTTGCATGTTGAATCACATTCCGATTATTGTTTTTTAACCAACTGATTAAAAATCAAGAAAATATGACCAAATATGACGTCCATGGTATTTCAGTTTTTATTTGTCATCTCAACTGATACATCTACATAATATCAAGAAGTTTATGGTGGCCTTGTGTTACAAGTACTTGATAAAATGGTTGTCCAATTATATTCCCATATTGTATTTTTAATGATGCTATAATTGTGCATAAACAACATTTTGACACATTCCCACAAATGTGTTTCAGGGACTTCATTGAGCCTCTGAAGGCCTAATACTCACCATTTCAACTCTTGATTGCAAACAGAAACTTAGATTCAAACTTCCTCATCACTCCGTTAGAAGTTCACGTTGCCAGTATACCAAGACCAGCTCACACCCTGTTAAACCATTCTAGGAAAACAGTAGAACTGATCCCAGATCAGCTGCTTAATCTCGGTACTTCCATTGGTATCATTTGAAATACATGCAAATAAATGTAGCAAATGTTCCCTTTAGGGTCCACAGACATTCTGCACTGATTTGATCCTGCAAAACACACACATACACACTTCAGAAAATGCTGTATGTTGGAAGGTGTCACTGGAATCACATATTTATTTGTCATAAAAGCTGAATTCATACACCTAAAGATGAGCACAACATATTGGTCATAGAATTAGATTTTGAAATGAAAATAAATCAGTCTCATGTGAAGAACCGGTCCAGTATTTAAATAAGAAAATAAAGGTGAAAAACTTGGTCTAAATAAAACACAAAAACATTTTTACAAAATGAACCGTTGTCTAAAATGTACATTTCAAATGCTTCCAGAAAATGGGGTGGGTTGATCATGTGCATAGCATCAGACATTCAACACCATCGCAAACTCATGATTAAACCTGCTTTAAAACCAGATGAACTTGCTGCTCTTGGTAAAATGAATAAAAACGTGCATTAAAAGGCTTAATGCTCTTCCTCTATATTCTCTTGAAGTTCTGTATCTCAACAGTAGGTGGAGACATACAACATTCCCTAAACCTGTTAAAACAAGCAGCCATGTAATAAAAAACCTTACCACAATACCTCACATAGTGTTACAGCTCAAACCACCAAGTCAGTTTGTGACACGTTTATCAAGCTCAGCATGCTTTGTTAATGTCTCAAGCACGAGCTGGATGAAATCGATAGTCTGTACGAGCGAAAGCTGAATACTTTGCATTAAGTGATGGCCTGGAGGACATTCTTTAAAGAGAGGATATTCAATATAACATGTAGGCATTCTCTGTTTACAGTGACTTGCGTTTAGTGCAATATTCCTCATTACCTCCCCATCATACCCTAAATTAGGGCTGGTTAGAGCTCTGGCAGTGAACTCATCACACCACAAAAAAAAAAAAGACTTTGGCTTTCGAGTCGATCAAAGCAACTTCACACGTCCCACATTGGCTGTTACAAATGTACATGAGCTTATAGGCATACTAACGGATTTCACTGTATATATTAACTCATCTATCATCTTTTTTAAGAAACAGCAAAAAGAGAAGTGTGGCAGAAAGAAATGAGGGAAAGTGAGCCTGAAAGACTGTCAAATGATATTTCTAAAGAGACTGAAATAGCCTCAAGTACAGATGCAGAAGTAAGATTATGTGATGCTTTCATAAGACATGCTTTGTTTTTAGAATCAAACAACTTCAATGTTATGGCTGCTTGCATGTGGTGTGTCATCTGGCTGTATTTGGACAAAAATGCTAGTTTTTCCAAGTAGAAATAGACACATCTAACCTAAAGCAGCTAATATTTTCATTCAGTCGGAATCTTGCTTGAAACAGTAATATTAAACAGTTTTACTTTCGTAGATATAAAATGTTTTTCAGTGAACCTACAGTTGAACTTATTTCCCTTAGGTTTGTTTTGTCTTAATAAAATCGCTTATTGATAACATACATCAGTCATATATTCAGTCAAACCATCCCTTGCGACATACAATATTATAAAATGGGGATTAACTACATCTTCTGATCTGTGCAGCATCTTAAACCCACATCTCTGCTCTCGAGTTACAAAACTGCAGTTTAAAGATTGACACATTGTGACTGTATACCTGTTTTTTGCACACTTTCAAATGTTCGCTCATCTTTAAAATGTTGCTATCAAGTACATCTAATACAATTCATTTAATAAATAAAATCTCATGTTTGTACTTAGTTGTAAGTGATTTCTCTCCCCGTCTGTGGAATGATTCCTCTCCACATCCAAGGCCCTCCTCTGCAGGATCCGGCAGTTGAGGGGTCTGTCTTGTGGAGAACGTGGCAGAGAAAGAGACAATGCTATGGAGGAGAGGAAAAGTGCAAAATCTCCCCTTACACATTCCCGTCAGTGCCGTTTTTCTCGTTGGCAGCATTAACTGTGGTACCGTCAGGTTGCTGGCCGTCCTTGCGAGGAGGCATCCGTTCGTTTATTCGGTCCAGGCCACGAGCTTCTTCGAAGTTGTGGATTTTCCGTGTAGGAGAGAAGCCTTGGATGGCTACCGGGGAAAAAGGAAAAAAAGGAAAATGAGGTAGAGAAAAAAACAACAACATTTTGAGACAATTAACAAACGGTATGCCATTTACTGAAATAAGTTTACCTTTGGGCTTTTGCAGTGATCAAAAAGCCTATTCATCGAATGATTTAACCATGAAGGAAATGGCAACTGTGGTGCTTTTTAAAATGGACTAAATTAATCAAATCAAACATCATGTCACATGATACGCAACACCAAATTGTTTGCCTCATGTCATGCGGTGTACACTACAGTTCAAAGGTTTGGGACTGGTAAGAGTTTTTAATGTTTTTAAGTATCTTGTGCTCACCAAGGCTGCATTTATTTGATCAAAAACATAGCAAAACACTAATAATGTAAAATATTATTAATATATAACTTAAAATAACTATAATGTATTATGTTAAAATGTAATTCATTGATGTGATGGCAAATGCTTAACAAAAATGTCTTATTATCAATGTTTTGTGGAAACTTTGTTTTTTTAAATGAATAGAAAGTTCAAAAGTACAGCATTTATTTGAAAAAGAAATCTTTATTAATGTCTTTACTGAAACAAATGTCTGATGTTGATCAATTTAATGCATCTTTGCTAAGTAAAAAAAAAACAATCTTACTGATTCCAAACTTTTCAACAGTAGTGTACAGTATGTCCAGTAAATTAGTATATATATATATAAGAATATAACTAAAAAAACCTGACAGTAAAAAACAAACGGTGGTCTACAGAAACAGGAAGTATAAAATGGTGGCAATAACTGTAACTTGCAATGTTACAATTATGAGATGCAGTAAAATATATCATAAAATGTACAGAAATATCAGAATATTTTATTTATATAATTTGTCATTTTATTTATATTGTTATCTTGCACAACTAACAGGCTTATTATGTCCTATGGCATTTCTGAAAACACCAGGCAACTGCCAAGATGAATCATGATTGTTTCCATTTGACAGAGCAAACACAAGACGCCCATTCAACACCAGTAAAAATGGAGATGCAGCTGAACTTAGAAATCAGGTCAGCAACTCGAGTGTCTTGCTCTGGCACACTTAACATTTCACGCCAGAGCGTGTGTTTGTGTTTGTCTGCACAATAGCTTAGAGCCTCGGTACATTACAGCAGTGTCGGGCAAGAGTGTTACGCGTCAATGGGAACAGACCGTCTTAGGAGCGCAGAGTCGTAACGAGATTAGAATCTGAAAATGCTTGGCGGAGGAAGGTCTTGGCCTCTCCGCCAATCGCATGGCAGCATGGGAATTAGCACACTCTAGCCAGGGCCCGGGACTAACGGTCAACAGGCAACAGCTAATTAATGAGGTGAAGCAGAGCCTCAATTCTCTAACTGCATGGATGCTTTCAAGTGTCCGCACCCATCATTTATCATAAAAAAATATCGGCCCGGAGTCATTTCAGGCTCTTTTGTAAAATCTGAATCTCATAAGGGAAAGGAATGCCTTTATGAAACGTGAACCGCTGCGTTCAATTCAATTAGTTGGTGCAAGAATACAGATTTTCCATGATTCGTTTGAGACGCACACACACGGTTGGGGTGAGCCCTTTGAGGGTCAGTACACTCTCACTCTCTTCCCTGAGGCATAACACACACACACACACACACACACACACACACACACACACACACACACACA